AATCCGGCTGAGCCAACCCAATACAACTGCACACTGTTACCTGATAAATTTTGCCTTCTAAAGACAGGCAAAAGTATTTTTTAATTTTGCTGGTTTACAATATTTTGTAAGTGATGCTGTCTGTTACATCATCTTTAAGTAAACTTTTTAATTTTATATTTAATAATTAGTTTAAAATGTTGGAGGAGGGAAAATTAAGTTAAATTTAGGTCTAACTTTGATCCATTTAGGGCAGGAATTCTCCCTTAATTGACTTGTTCTAGCATATAAAGCAAAAGTACTTTTTCAGAGTCTACTTTTGTCAAAGTTAAAGTAAATACAGAAATACTAGTATTTTAGGTTTATTACTAAGCATTTCTATTTTACCTGTTTCGTGAAAATATATTTCTTTTTAATTTCATCTCTGAACAATAGGCCCAGTGGCTTGAAGTATGAGAAAGCTAAAGAGTGGAGAATACCTTGTGTGAATGCACAGTGGCTCTGTGACATACTGCTAGGAAATTTTGAAGCTTTACGGCAGATACAGCACAGTCGATACACAGTATTCAGTCTTCAAGATCCACTTTCTCCTAGTCAACATCTGGTTCTAAATCTTCTGGGTAAGAGTTTCTTTCCCAAAATCCTGTGTTCTATGGTATTTATATATACCCATTTAATCAATAAAAGCATTTGTCTTCTGTTATGAATAACTTTGTAATAGTTTCAATTTTGTTTTGTTCTTCATTTCTTAGATGCTTGGAGAGTCCCTATAAAAGTATCACCAGAACTTCTAATGGTATGTTGAATTATTGTATATATGAAGCTCTTTTTATAAGATTACTCTTTAGTGATTTCAGTGGGCGAGGACGTGTGTATATGGTGTGAGCAACGTGCTAGAGAGACTCATACTGACCCTCCTGGCTGTTCTTCCTGCGGAGGATTGTCTCTAATTCATTTGAGGAATCTGATAAATAATCTTTCACAGAACTAAGAACCTGCACTGTGATATACAAAAGCGAGTTACTTATGAGACATCTGGAGCTAGTGCTTTACTCTTGGATTTTTACATCAGATCTGTAGGAAGGGCTCAGTATTTTTCAAGTGAGTACTGACTCTGAAAATCAGGCCACGTAAGGGTTTTGAGTGCAACTTGGTAACAGAATGTGAATGTGGAAATGTCAGGAAAGGTACTTCATTGCCTTCACAGTAGGCATTTCTGTTTGTGTTGGCATTTGAAGTATGAGGTCCTCTTTTCAGGACAGCCCTCTGTCAGATGTTGATATCATCCACCTTGTGCATTTTCATAGTGTAGTAGCTGAAATATCTGTCAGAAAGTAAGCACTCTAAACATTTCTTTCCAGCGGCTCTTACTAGTGATTGTCCTGCATAAAAAAGCTATATCCCTGAGAGCAGGGAAAAAAAAACTTGTGGCCTGTTCTCCCCAAAGGATTGTCCTCTCAGCAAGGCTGGAATAATGCTGCCCATCTTTCTGGTCACATGCCTTTAGCACTCCTCATTAAATTTCAGATGTAGATTTGAAGGTTGAAAAGGAGTAAATGTCACATGCTCCTGCAGGTGAGAGCTGTGGTTTCAAGTTGCTCAGGTCGGGGAGAGCCTAAGAGCTCCATTTCTCTACCCCTGGGCAAACGCTCTAGCAGCTAATCTTGTACTGGGGAAGCAGGAGTGTCAATCCAGTGAGTACCTGAGCATCCACTGGAGCTTCTGTTTGTGTAGTTAGGCAACGCCAGTGTTTAAAACACAGGTGCCAATATTTTCTGTTAATATTTAAGCACTTGGAAGAATATTGTCGTGTTTGTGTATTTAACAAACGAAGAGCTTTCTTGGTCTCTTTCTCTTTTAGTTATTTGTGATTTCCATTGATAATTACCAGTGTTATTTAAAGGGAAAAAAGTCCAACAATACTTTATTTCGTGTATGCTTAAATGGTCACATAACTTTATGGAGGAACTTGGGCTGATGCTCAGCTTTGCTCTTAACTTGATTGTGTAAGCAACAAGGGTAACATTACACATTCAGTAGTGTCTTTTTTGTTTGTATTTAATTTTGTTTAATATAGTGTCAGAATATCAGTGGATAGTTTTCCTCTTTTAGAAGCTTGTTTCCCTGTTCAGTTCAAATATAAACATGTAGATGATCTAATTTCAGGGTGTGAGGTTGCCTTTGAAACCAAAGCAAAATGAATCCAGTCTTCAGCCATCTTCCAAAAGAGCAAGGTAAGGACAGCGAGTGATCAGTGCCAGCGGGCCTTCATTTACTTGCCCGCAGAAGTGTCAGCTGGCCATCAGTCTGGTTCTGTCCTTTGCCCTGCTAGTGGAAATAACTGTCAACGGTTTTTGTGTATTGCCAGCTACTCAACTGGCAGGATTAAAATAAGGACTAGAGTTAATATTTCATGAAGTAGTAAGAGAACTGGGACAGAACGGAATCAAGAGAAAACGTCCTGTTCTCAGCATAGCAAATTTTCCTTCAGTAGAAGATTGATCAGGCCTAATTATCATTGATCTGAGTACTTCCACTTGTAAAAGTTGCAAGAGTGCACTTGTCTAGTTCTAAAATAATAGTAATACAACTTTGGGCTCACACTTCACATTCTGGTGTATTTCATGCATTTTGTAGGATTGAAGACCTACCACCACCTACTAAAAAACTCACTCCGGAATTGACACCGATGGTGCTCTTCACAGGCTTTGAACCTATGCAAGTTCAACAGTACATTAAGGTGACTTTCATGCTTATCTCTTGTGAACTGCAGTGAAACATCTGTTTAACTTTTTTTCCTTGATGTTGAATTTTTGCTAAGACTTGGTTAACGTACATCTAGTGGGTAAAATCCCCCATGCTTACTGGGGCTGAGGTTAGAGTGTAGATACATGTGAAATGAGTTTCATTTGTTAACTGTTCTGCTTCACTTAACTACTTTATGCTTCTGTGGTGCTTGTTTTTTCTGTCTGTATAATTGCATTTAAAAGAAAGAAGGCCCCTTCCACATTTGGTTTTAAATCAGCAAACTTGATGACTAAGTTTAGGTGAGAAAAGTAGTGATGGTTTTACTGGATAAGACACAAGATTCTCCTAGTTTGGTTGCTGTCTGTAATGCCAAAAAGGAAAACAGGATGATTACTCAGTATTGTCAAAAGCACATGTGGAACTAGTATATTTAAAGAATACATGTTTCTCATGAGATGCTTTTCTCTTCAAAGGAAAGACTGGAAAAAATAAGTTTTTCCTTGCTACAGTGTATATTTTACCTTCCATAGAAAAGAGCAAAATTATTAAATTTTCTGCTTCCTTAAATTTAGTAGCATGTTTCACTTTAAAAAAAAGATTTATTTTTTTTTTGTATTCTGTAGCTACTTTTTTTGCTTAAAAAAAGTAACCCCAACCTGAAAAATTGCAGAAGCAGAATTTAGCTTTCAGTCTTGGCCAGATGAAATTTGCGTCTGGAAGCACCTGGATTTTCAGTGGCTGCAAATTCTGTCCTTTAATCAGCTTTAGTAAAGGAATGACTGTAACACAGAAATCACCTATATTTACTGTTTCATGAGTAGCTTAGTTTTAATTGATGCTGATGTTAATTGATGCTGATGTTCATTTTTTCCTCCATTTTTTAAAGGACTGTTCCATTCTGATCTGTGTTTTTTGCAACTTTCAGAAGCTGTATATCCTTGGAGGTGAAGTAGCAGAATCTGCCCAGAAATGTACCCATCTAATTGCTAGTAAAGTGACCCGAACTGTCAAGTTCCTGACAGCAATTTCTGTAGTCAAGCACATAGTTACCCCGGAGTGGTTAGAAGAGTGTTTCAAGTGCCAGAAGTTTGTTGGTAAGTTAAACTAGTATCAACTTCTGTAGTAAACACAAGGTTTATTGATTAAAAGAAGTAAAAAAATACTTGAAAAGTTTCCTTCAGAGTGATGAAATAGTTGAATGTTGTCAAGTGTTGTATTTCTTTCCCATATAGACGTTTACAGATTTTTACCTATGGTTACATTACTTTTCAAGCCCCAAATACTTTTGGTTTCAATACTTTTTCTAAAATATAAGTTGTTAGGAGTTAAGCGACTGTTGGAAATACATACAAAAATGCATTTAAATAATTAAAGCTAATTGGTCTAGTACTGTAGCACCGCTGGAAGATACTGACTTTGTGTTTACACTGCTCTTCTGTTGACAACTGAAAAGAACAGAATAGATGGTTTTGGTCTGTTTGACAGACATGTTGGATCTGAAGAAAATCTTCTTAAAGGGTGATTATTTGTTTTATGATTGTTTTGTGCGTTTTATGTATTTTTTTGCAAGGAGGAAATATGTAGCATTGCTGCCTAACCATACAAAGATTTAAATCTATGGATAATTTACAAAAATGCTTGTTGGTTTATTGCTTAATCTGGAGAAGGTAACTTGCTTGGTTCAGCATCAGTGAACTGAGAAATCAGTCCATTTGAAAGCTATTAGAAAATCAAGAAAGTCTGGGAATTTGGAAGGATGACTGTTTTGATCTAGTACGTAAAGTACTTGTCTGCTGAAATATTTTGTAGCTAATTGTCTGCCTTCACTTCTGTACCTAGCATGATGATGGAAATTCTGGCACTTGTTTAAAAAAATTGTCTTGCTGGTTTTGTTTGTCTTATGGAAGAGTTATTAGCACCATCTCCTGCAGGTTATCAGAATTTTCCTTGGAAAGAGCAATTTGGTCTCCATAAAGTTTTTTTTTTTCTTTTAACTTAGGTGTTTTGAATTAAATGTAATTTAAAAATGTGTTTGACATCTTTTTCTGGAAAGATGAAGTTGAGACTGAAATTCCATTCCTAATTTAAAAAAAAAAATAGGAAGAAAGAAAAATCAGCTGAATAGCTGGCCAATGGAGACAGATGGAAAGGTTACTGTGCTAAGGCTGTGTGAGCTGTTGAAGGCAGTATCTGGGCTCCCATAGGTTGTCACAGTGATTTGCTCCTGATCAGTCTGCTCCTTTGTAGAGAATCAATAAACAAAACTTCGCGAGTTTCTCCAATAAATTAGAAAAAGTGATTTTGTAGGACAGTGGTTGTTGCTAGATACATAAGGGTAAAGTACACACACCCTTTTATTCTGTGAGTAATCGTGGATGATCCCTGTAGGACACCTAATAAAGGGCAGTATTATAATCATGTTAAAATTAGTGAGTGTTCACCATTTCGAATCACCCTCCCATCACTATTTTCTAAACATGTTAGGTCCTGGGTTATGTGGGTGTTTTGGTCTTTTGTATGTTACATCGTGCAACTTTCTTTTTCAGATGAGCAGAACTTTGTGCTCAGAGATGCTGAAGCTGAGGTGCTGTTCTGCTTTAGTTTAGAGGAATCTCTAAAGAGAGCACAAGTAGCTCCACTGTTCAAGGTAAGCAGGTTAAATTAAATACTTGAAGCTTTTCAACCTAATCTTTTCATCATTGGGACCACAGCTTTTGTATCCAAGGGCAATAAAACAGACTAGCATATAAAGTGAAGCATTTGTTTTATAGTTCATTTTTTACTCTATGCCTGTTTTCTACCTAAGCGTTGTTGGGATGGCAGTTGCCCGTTAAAAATGAGGGTCTGAGAGTTGAGTTTGTACTTCAGCCTCAGGGAGTTCTGGTCTGATTCTCCATGAGGACTGCGCTTACCACCCAGCTGCTTGTGAGGATGGTGCAAGATAGTTTTCATGCTTCTAGTTAAAATTACATTACAGTGTGAAGGGGCGTGTGAAGATCCAAGTTGCTAGGGATTCTTCAGTATAACAATTTGAGACTTCTGTTTCAAGCAACCCACCTAAAAGGGGTATTTTTACAACTCGTAATGAGTAAGAAACTATGTCTACTGTTAAGTCTAGATACTACATTACATCATTGCTGTCCATTTAGCAAGGTTATGTTTTTTATTCCTAGCTGCTAACGAGATAATTTACTTTGTGATCTGATCACCTGTATCAGTCTCTGCTGAGTAGTTGGGTAGTTTTTGTTCAGAAGGTAATATATTGGCTATTAATTAAAAACTGAAAGTTCTTTCACAATACTTCAGACATCCATGTGCTTGAAGAAGCAAGGAATATTGTTCCTATAAGTTTTACCAAGCTGCAGCTACTTTTTTGTTTCTTTTTAAAAAAAATAAAAGATTATACTTTAAGCAGTAGTCATTTGAAGTTTTTTGGTTGTTATTTTTCCAGATATTAAAATAGGCACACCTAAGCTGTTCAAATTTATCAAAATAGTGGTTTTGCTCCTCCAGGGAAAATACCAGTTGTAATTAAGGACAACTCTTCAGCTGATTAATTTGTTGCCATAAGCTGTGATATCTAATACCAGCTTACAAAGCCTGCCCCATGACTGTATAAGACAAGCGTCACGTTATAATAAAACCTAAAACATTGCAGAAATCAATTAGCAATATAATTTTTTTCTTACTCTTTCTTTTCTTCTTTAAGGGAAAGTATTTTTACATTACACCTGGAATTTGTCCCAGTCTTTCTACCATGAAAGCAATTGTGGAATGTGCAGGAGGAAAAGTATTATCTAAGCAACCTTCTTTTCGAAAACTCATGGAGCATAAGCAGAATAAAGTATGTAGAGTGTTCCTTTCTAAAATTTACTGGTGATACCTTAATGTGTTGTTTTGAGCTTACAGTTAGTTTCTTTTATTTAGAGTTTGCCGGAGATAATCTTGATTTCCTGTGAAAATGACCTTCATTTATGTCGAGAATATTTTGCAAGAGGCATAGGTATGTATAAGATGTTAATTTAATTTGAACAGTATAACGGTTCTTTTGTGCTTTTTCAAATTAGTATTGTTTTTATATTACAAGCACAGACATCTTCTGAAGCTTGCAGATAATAACAGAGATAGATGATAACACATGACCTGTTCTGCAAACCATGAAGAAGTCTTAGCCAGCTATTTGCCAGATATTTCTAATAGAGGGATTTTATAACCGGGTCACCATTCTGGGCTCTGAGTGGAGGCGTGGGTTTTTAGTGGTCACGGTAGTGTTGGGTAGCTATTTGGACTAGATGATCTCAGAGGTCTTTTCCAACCTTAATGATTCTATGATTCTATAAATTTTAGGAAAGGTTGGCTTGAACTTGGGATTTCAGTCCTGTGTGAGACAAGATTAGTGTCTCTGTATTCCTCAAGTTAAAGATTTGGTTTTTTTCACTTTGACTGTTTTTGTTTTGGTGCAGAACCCCAAGACATGGTCTGTTAATTAATAAAGACATGCATGGGCAAGTCTAGTATTTGTGATGCGATGGGTAACAGTAGGGCCTGGTGGTGGGGGGCTAATACTCTGTTACACCTTTGCGTGAGAGCAGAAAGGGACAGGATGGCCCCTCCTGACACATGTGCAGACTGAGGAAAAATGTCCGTAAGCTGTGAACTGTATACATGTTTTTGAAATTTCCAGATGTCCACAATGCTGAGTTTGTCCTGACTGGTGTGCTTACTCAAACACTGGATTATGAATCATATCCTTTTTTGTGTCCACTGCTTAGGGACGTGTGATTTACTAGAAGGTTTTGATTATTAGGAACTAATTATTTATTATCTGGATGTGTAATGTTTACTTGATAGGAGGGTAGGTTAACACCCGGAAACTTAGCTTAAATTCAGAGTGGACTTACTTTTTTGATAGGAAATACTTCAGTGGAGGTGGGAGGCGGGGTTGTCAGAAAGACGTAGTAGAATATTATTAAGCACCGGGAAAAAAAACCTTTTCACTAAGGAACGTATTTGTTATGAGTTATTTGCAGATAAGGAAAATAGCTTTTTACTGAGGAAGATTGATTATAAACCCTGTTTGATAAATGCAATGGAAGGACCTGTGTGGGTTCTACGTCCTTAGGCACATTTTCTATTTAAGTTCTGTTCTGTAGTCATTTCTTGAAGTTGTTCTTTCTTAACAAACTTACATATAAATTTACTTGATGGGTAGATGCCTTACTGCTTCGGAATCCTTGGAGCATTAAATCTAGCTGTTCAGCCATTGTACAAAGCAACTAAAACTTCCTGTGGATGCTGTTTTCCAGCTGTTTTCCTCGGGATGATGAGCAGTTTAAAGCAGGAAAGCAAAAATAAAACTGCATCTTTTTTAGGATGTGTAATTTTATTATGCTGAAACATAATTTACTATGTTTTGTATTATACTACCATTTTAAAGGAGCCCACTTTAGGTATCATGGTTAGCCTGTTTTTAAACATTTTAACGTAAATGATGGTACTTGAGCCAAAAGTATAATTTGGATGTAAAAATAAAAGGGCTTGCTATCTATTAAATTATGGATGTTGAAGATGAAAATGTTTTGTACTTTATTTTTATTTCTTATACTCTATTTTCTTTTATATTGATATTTTGCCCACATTTTAAATAAATGTACTTTTAAATGTTTTACTCAATATTTTAGTGGTGGTTCATTTTTTTGAATACTGTGCAACAATGGCACTCTGGTAAGAGTAAATTACTCAAATCTTTTTTCAAGCAGTGTAAAATTATTTTAAGCTTATTTTACCAGGTATGTTTTAATATTTGAAATCCCAGTGATTTGAAGGGAAATTGTAAATATATCTATGTGTTTCTACTGAAGCAAAGAAGCAGCTTAAAGGAAGGAGAAACTATAACCTTGCATATTACACTGTTGTGATAACTTTTGTTTGTATAGTGAGTTTTACTAAATAAATATTAAAACTCAGTCTCCTGAATCTATATTCAGTTGTATTTCCTAATACACACACAGTTCGAATAATCTGACTTTACCATTTTTATCAGTTTAGATTCTAGCAGAATGGTGATAAAGGCATCTTAAAAGCTTTTATTCTTTGATCCACAAGCCATTCAACTCTGGTGGGGGGGGGGGGGGGAAAATCCTAACTCTGGTGGGGGGGAGGGGGGTGCAAATACTTGTCTGTATGACATCAAGAGTGTTACAGCACCTGGTGAACCGTTCACAGAACAATCCAAAATGCAAGATAAACAAAAAACCACACGATTTTTTTCCAAGCATTTTATATTTTTGTGCAGATCCATTTTACAGGGAAGCTTTCACAAATACAGTATCATTAAACAGAGGTAAGCTGCTGGGTTTAGTTTATGCAAAGCTTTCTGCAGAAAAACTACTACTTTCAAATCTGTCTTTTGTGCTATGGCTTGAAACATAAATCCACCTGATATTTGACCACTGTTTCTGTTGCCTTTCTTCCCATGCCCTAGTTCAACAAAGTGCTGAAGCAAAGGACAAATTCAAGCTGTAAGAACACAGTGGTAGTAAATTTAATTTTAAGATGAGTGAAGTCCCACGGTGGTCAGTACTGTGCATGTTACTGCTGGCTCTGGGTGCCGCACCTACCCTGATTTACCTGGATTTGGTGATATTTTTGTAAGCAATAAGGAATGATAACAAGAATGGTAAAATTTCTGTCGGCGTCACTTTTTTGTAAGGTGACAAAATGTAGTAAATGAGAATGTTACACTTGACTCAAGATGGTTTTAAGTGAATCAGAGTTTAAAAAAGTATGGTACAGGGAGAGAGAAAACGGTTCTTTTCCCCAAATACCATTTACTTGTAACAGCAGTTATGTGCATTTTCTTTAGTGTGATGTTTAGAAAAGCTAAAGCTCAATTTGAATTAAATCTAGCCAGGGGGATCAAGGGGAATAGCAAAAATTTCTATAGGTACATTAATGGTAAAAGGAAGACGAGGGAAGGTGTGGGCCCCCTTAGAAAGGAAACGGGTGAACTGGCTACAAGTGACATGGAGAAGGCCGAGGTACTCAATGACTTCTTTGCCTCAGTCTTCACTGGCAAGGACTCCAACCACACTCCCGGAGTCACACAAGATAATGGCAGGGGCTGGAAGGAAGAGCTGCCCATTGTAAGTGATGATCAGGTTCGGGACCACCTGATGAACCTGAAGGTGTGTAAGTCCATGGGACCTGATGGGATACACCCACGGGTATTGAGGGAACAGGCGGATGAGGTTGCGAAACCCCTCTCTATTATATTCCAAAAGTCATGGCAGTCCAGAGAAGTCCCGACTGACTGGAAAAGGGAAAACATAACCCCCATCTTCAGAAAGGGAAAGAAGGAAGAACTGGGGAACTACAGGCCAGTCAGTCTCACCTCTGTGCCCGGCAAGATCATGGGGCAGATCCTCCTGGAGGCACTGCTGAGGCACAAGAATAACGAAAAGGTGTTTGGGCATAATCAGCATGGCTTCACCAAGGGCAAATCGTGCCTGACAAACCTGGTGGCCTTCTATGAAAAGGTCACAACATTAATAGATGAAGGACAAGCAACTGATGTCATTTACTTAGACCTGAGCAAAGCCTTTGATACTGTCCC